GAGAGAGACTCCAACTCAAAAAAAAAAAAAAAAGAATTATGCTGAGTCTATACTGTCTGTGCTCAGTCAATGGAACAACCATGTCTGGAGGACAGCACCTGTTTACAGTATGGTTTATCAAACATTAAGCCCACTGTTGAGAGCCGCTCACTCCTCAGAAAAAAAGATTTCTTTCAAAATGTGACTGCTTCCATACTCATGATTTGGTATTAAAAATAGCACTGCTCAGCTGACTGTGGTAACTCACGCCTATAATCTCAGCATTTTGGGAGACCAAGGTGAGAGGATTGTCTGATTCCAGGAGTCTGAGACTAGCCTGGGCAACTTGGCAAGACCTTATCTCTACAATAAATCAAAAAACTGGGCATGGTGACACATGCCTATAGTTCCAGCTACTTGAAAGGTTGAAGCAGAAGCTTTGCCTGAACCCAGCAGGTCAAAGTTGCGGTGGCCGTGAGTATGCCACTGCACTGCAGTCTGGGCGAGAGTGAGACTCTGGCTCAAAAAAAAAAAAAAAATTTGCATCATTGACAAATTGATAACGCACCTGGACATTCATGAGTTCTAAGGGAGACTCACAAGGGAATTAATGTTTGATGCCTGCCACCGTGATATACATTCTACAGCCAATCAGGGAGTAAACTCTACTTCCAAATCTTATTACTTATTTAAGAAATATACTTTTGTAAGACTGTAGCGACCATAAATGGTGATTCCTCTGAGGCATCTGGGTAAAGTAAATTGAAAATCTTGAGGAAAGTGGTCACCATTCTGGAGGCCGTTAGGAACATTTATGATTCCTTGGAGGAGGTCAAAATATCGACATGGACGGGAGTTTGGGGAAGTTGGTCCCATCCCTCATGAATGACTGAAGGGTTTGAGACTTCAGAGGAGCAGGTAGCAGCAGATGTGATGGAAATAGCAAGAGAACCGGGACAAACAGAAGAGCCCAAAGATGGGGCTGAATGGCTGCGATTGTCTTACAGATGAGCAGAGAAAGTGGTTGGAATCTACTCCTGGTATAGGTGCTGTGAACATTGTTAACACGGCAATATAGTATTTAAAACATTCTATAAAGTTAGTAGATGAAACAGCAGCAGGACTTGAGAGAGTTGAGCCCAATTTTGAAAGAAGTTCTATACTCAGTGATCTATCACAGAGACAAAGAACAGAGAACCACACGTTCTCACTCATAAGCGGACCCTGAACAATTATCATAATACTGTAAGAAAGGGATTGGCAGTAGTGGGATACTGGTGGGGTGGGTGGGCAGGAGGGCATATATCAGTAAGGGTACCTGATCTCAAACCAGGCAAAGTGGGAACCAAAGGGATGCCCAAATTTCACCTGTATGATGACCACCTGTATACCTAATCATGAATTGTACCCCACATCTTTTTTTTTTTTTTTTTTTTTTTTTTTTTTTTTAGTTGGAGTCTCACTCAGTTGCCCAGGCTAGAGTGCAGTGACACACTCATGACTACCGCCGCCTCGACCTGCTGGGCTCAGGAGATCCTTCCACCTCAGCCTTCCAAGTAGCTGGAATTACAGGCACATGCTACCACGCCTGGCTTTTCTTTTCTTTTCTTTTCGTTTTTACTGTAGAGATGAGATCTCACTAAGTTGTCCAGGCTGGTCTTGAACCTGAACTCAGGCAATCCCTCTCGCCTTGGCCTTCCAAAGTGCTGGGATTACAGGCTTAAGCCACCATGCCTGGCCACTGGTATCTTATTTTAAGAAATTACCGGCCGGGCTTAGTGGGGCAGCCTATAATCCCAGCGCTCTGGAAGACCGAGGTGAGTGGATTTCCTGAGTTTGCGGCTTCAAGACCCGCATTGGCAACTTGGCAAGACCTCATCTCTACAATAAATCAAAATATTAGCCGGGCGTGGTAGTGTGCGCCTGTAGTTCCAGCTACTTGGAAGGCTGAGGCGGAAGGATCGCCGGAGCCCAGCAGGTGGAGGCTGCGGTGGCCGGGAGTGGCCACTGCACTCCAGTCTGGATGACAGAGTGAGACTCCAACTCAAAAAAAAAAAAATTACCACAACCTTCAGCAGCCACCACCCTGATCAGTCAGGAACATCAACACCGAGGCATGACTGTCCACCAGCAACCAGCAGAGATAGAAACCGCTGAAGGATCTGATAGATGATCATTAGAATATTTTAGCCGTAAGTATTTTGAAATTAAGGCATGTTTTCTTTTTTTAACATAATGCTATTTACTGCACACTTTATAGACTATAGTATAGCATAAACATAACTTTTATGTGCAGTGGGAAACAAGATCCCAGTGACTTCCTTCACTGCAATACCCACCTTATTGTGGCATCTAGCACTGTGCCTGCAACATCTCTGAGTTGTGCCTGTTATGTGTACGTACACACACACACACACACACACACACACACACACACACACACACACACACACACCATCCTCCTGGCTCTCTGTTTCTCTGAACTGGATAGTAGAACACCCTCTTCATTAGGTGAGGCAGGTGTCATGAAGGTGCATGTGTGAAACATTAGAATGAAATATGACCCTCTCTGCACTACTGGTGCATATCTTTGGGCCAATTCCTCCACCTCTTAAAATGTTCAAGTCTTCACCTATGAAATGTGGACCCACTCATTTTACAAAGATGATGTGAAGATTAAGTGAAAGTAGTGCTTCTGCTGTTTCTCTCCAGTTGTACAACATACGTTGCGAATATGAGTTTTTCTTTTCTTTTTAAAAATTAATTAAATTTTTCTTTTTTTAGAGACTGGGTTTTGCTATGCTGCCCAGGCTGGTCTTGAACCTCTGGACTCAAGCAATCCTCCCGCCTCAGCTTCCCAAAGTGCTGGGATGACAGGGGTTAGCCATTTTGCCTGGCTGAGTTATTTATTTTCTAGGGTTTTCAACAGAAACCTGGAAGGAGGTCACATGACCAGAGGATCCGTGGCGACACCACAGCTGAACACAAGGTGGCACATGCCAGGAGGCTCTTCCCAATCAAACTCAGAGGACGGAGCCCACAAGTGACCTCCACGCTCATTCCAACTATTCTGAATGTGTTTGTGTGTGCGCACGACACAGTGTCTATGAGACTCACGGGAATGCCGTATCGGGTCCGGTAGAGGGTCCTCATGGCGACGGTCGTCCCACACAGACAGCATTCGTTCATGTCAGAAGCCACTTGACACCCAAGGCACATGAAGCAAAACGTGCCGCAGAGACCTGGACACAGGACACCAGGGGCACAGGTTACTCCACCCACCCCAGCTGCGGTCACAGCGGTGGTCCCCACCCTGGGACCTTTACCACACCCCTGCCGCCATGTCACCACCAGTGCTTCCTTAAGCTTTGCATCAGCATCTCCCCCCAGCCCCATATCATTTCAGTCTCTTCATTAAGTCTGTCATGCTTTTTCCAGTCCTGCCTTCATTCATTCATTCACTGAGCCCCGACATTCAGCCAGTTCACCTTTTCTTCAGTACTGACAATCCCCTGACTCAATTCTGGCAGGGAAGGCAGACGAGATGAAAAGTTCTCCAACAGAAACCTCTAAAGGCCCGGTGTGGTGGCTCACGCCTATAATGCCAGCACTTTGGGAGGCAGAGGTGAGAGAACTGCCTGAGTCCAGGGGTTTGAGACCAGCCTGGGCAACTTGGCAAGACCTCATTTCTACAATAAATCAAAAATTGGCAAGACCTCATCTCTACAATAAATCAAAAAACTAGCCAGGTGTGGTGGCTCGTGCCTGTAGTTCCAACTACTTGGAAGGCTGAGGAGGAAGGATCGCCTGAGCCCAGCAGGTTGACGCTGGTGGCTGGGAGCATGCCACTGCACTCCAGTCTGGATGACAGAGTGAGGATCCAACTCAAAAAAAAAAGAAAAAGTGGACAAGACAGGGTGTGGTGGCTCACACCTATAATCCTAGTACTTTGGAAGGCTGAGGCGGGAGGATCGCTTGAGCCCAGGAGTTCGAGACCAACTTAGGCATCATAGCAAGACTGCGTCTCTACACACACACACAAAATTAGCTAGGTGTGGTGGCATGCACCAATAGTCCCAGCTACTCAGGAGACTGAGGTGGAAGGATCATCTGAGCCCAGGAGGTAGAGGCTGTGGTGAGCCATGATTATACCACTGCACTCCAGGCTAGGTAGCAGAGTGAGACCCCACCTGTAGTCTCTGCCTCTAAATAAATAAATACCAAAACAAATAAATAGGTATGGCAAAAGGGGAAAGAGCCTCTTTGTGATGACCTGGCATGTTCTGGCAAAGGCTCATGTTCCTTCAGGAGTCCCAGGATAGGAGGGGGATTTAGCAAGGGTGGGGCGTATGTTGGGGACCAGGTGAGGAGGAGCTGTGAACTCATAGGCATGGTGGCGCATGCCTATGGTTCCAGCTACTTGGAAGCTGAGGCAGAAGGATTGCTGTAGCCCAGCAGGTTGATGCTGGGGTGGCTGTGAGCATGCTACTGCACTCCAGCCTGGGCAACAGAGTGAGACTCCAAAAAAAAAAAAAAGAAAAAGAATGTGCACACTCATTTAATTGGGTAATGATACTGAGGGTGGGTGGATCAAAGTGTTCATTTTTAGAGACCTTTACTAATGTAGTCTAATGGCCAAGCTGCTTCATAGATATCTGTGTCATCACCCCAGGTTATCCGGGAAAACAATAAGAGTGAACCAAGAAACCTAATGAAACCCAATTGCTCCACCCCCAGATAGGGCTCCTTTTCTCTGCCTCTCAAGTAATTATTAACTCAATTCAATTCAAAGTTCCATTTTAACTGGCAAGCTAAAGGTTAGCGCATTTGTTTTCCTTGTGTAAGAAAACCATGCAGGCTCCAGACCGAAAGACTTCAGGTGGGTGTTGTTTCTTGGTTGGTGCTGGGAACTAAGCCCCTTGATGCTCTCCACCACCCCAGCTAAGCCCCTAAACTTCCTTTCATCCAGGTTCTTGTAGAGAGATCGCCCACTTAGAAATTTCTTCTAGAAAGAAGCAAAGCAGAGTCAGAGAAATTTTTCCCAATGACAAGCTATATGCCTTCCAAATTCTTTATTCTTAGGTGCATAAAAATGTATATGGGCCTGGGCATGGTGGCACATGCCTGTAATCCCAGCACTTTGAGAGGTTGAGGTGGAGGATTACTTGAGCCTAGGAGTTCAAGCAGTCTGGGCAACATAGTGAGACCTCATCTCTACGACAAATCAAAAAATTAGCTCGGCATGGTGGCGCGTGCCTGTGGTTCCAGCCACTTGGAAGGCTGAGGTGGAAGGATCACCTGAGCCCAGCAGGCTGAGGCTATGGTGGCCATAAGCGTGCCACTGCCCTTTAGCTTAGGCAATAGAGTGAGACTCCAACTCAAAAAAAAAAAAAAATTAGCCAGACATGGTAGTGTGTTCATGTGGTTCTGGGTACTTGGAAGGCTAATGTGGAAGGATCACCAGAGCCCAGCAGGTCGATGCTTAGGTGGCCGTGAGTGTGCCACTGCACTTCAGCCTGGGTGACAGAGTGAGACTCCAACTCAAAAAAAAAAAAAAAAAAAAAACCAGGCTCGGTGGCTCAGCCTGTAATCCCGCGCCTTTGGGAGGCTGAGCTGAGTGGATTGCCTGAGCCCGTGGGTTCGAGACCCGCCTGGGCAGCGAGACCTCATCTCTACAATAAATCAAAAAATCAGCCGGGCATGGTAGTGCATGCCTGTAATTCCGGTTACTTGGAAGGCTGAGGCAGAAGGATTGCTGGAGCCCAGCAGGCGAGGCTGCGGTGGCTGGGAGCGGCCACTGCACTCCAGTCTGGGCGACAGAGTGAGACTCCAACTCAAAAAAAAAAAAAAAAACCTGAGAAACAACTATAGCAATATACATTATACAACTATAGCAATAATACATTGATACATACTATGGTATGCTGCATACAAGATTTATCACAGACCTTGTGCTTACTTGGATAATGTTACATTTAACAAAAACCATCTGAACTTGCTGCAACAAAAGTACAATACCAGGGATCAGACACAGTGGTTCATGTTTGTAATCCCAGCACTTTGGGAGGCTGAGGTGGGAGGATCCCTTGAGGTCAGGAGTTTGAGACCAGTCTGGGCAACATACGTACAATATTAAAAATCTGTGAAATACCAATACTTTAAAATTTTGAACAATAGTACATTATGCCTTCAATCCTAAAATGTAGTCCCACAGACATTTTTCACACATGAAACAATGAACTCCCATGAGGGCAACTGACCTAGGAGAAACTCACATTGGTACCTGATGAAAATAAATCATCAGTATATACAGGGGGTGCCAAAAAATGTATACATTTTAAGCAAAGTTATATATGTATTATTTTTTCTAAGTTAAATTAAATTAGCAATGTGTAGCCTGTGTAGCAAGAGGTTGGCTCAACCATGCTTCTGCCATTTTCTTTGTCCTGTCACATGATGATGATAGCATTCATTTGAATAACATCATCTTTTGAGCAAACGTCATACTTAAAATGTGTATACGTTTTTCTGGCACCCCTTTGTGATTTACTGGTAACAACACAGTACCACGCAGCTAACAATATTGAATTAAACAAGAAATTGCACACAACATACTTTACTACACAATATTAAATAAATACCTATGCTAAACTCTATAAACCAGTACCTGGAACTAGACAAATTCAAAAAATAAACCATGTACCATTAAAAACCCTTAAATATATTTTTGGCTCACTAGCACAGGCAGCATATTACTGTATTACTCTCCTTCCAGTAGAACCAAATTTGTATGCAAGCCATGCAACTAACACCATTTCAGAAGGGAAATGCATTGTGGACTAATACAGTACTACTGATTTTTCACCAAAAATTACTTTGTGTTCACAGCGAGGGTACACTGGACATACTTCGAGAAAACAAGGAAACCAAACCCTGAAAATGTGGAGAAACAAGCCTAAAATTACAATAATACCCACTTTTCTGTGATTTTGCTTTCCAAAGTGTCAGTTATCTGGAGTCAAACGTGGTCCAAAAGCATTAAATGGAAAAGTACAGAAATAATTCAAAAGTTTCAAATTGCCTAGCATTCTTAGTGTAATAAAATCTGGAGCTGCCCAGCTGTCCTGCCAGGGATAAGAATTATCCCTTTTTTCAATGTCTCCCCACTGCATATGCTACTCAGTCATTAGTCACTCAGCAGTCATCTCAGTTATCAGAACGACTTAACTGTCAACATTTTACTTGAAGGAAGCACTTGATGGTATCTCTCTGGCATATCTGAATTTTTGGCATCACAACTCTTACATTCAAGGGCTTTTTTTTTTTTTTTTGAGTTGGAGTTTCACTCTGTCACCCAGACTGGAGTGCAGTGGCCGCTCCCGGCCACCGCAGCCTCGACCTGCTGGGCTCCGGCAATCCTTCCGCCTCAGTCTTCCAAGTAGCTGGAACTACAGGCGCGCGCTACCACGCCTGGCTAATTTTTTTTTTTTGATTTATTGTAGAGATGAGGTCTCGCCAAGTTGCCCAGGTGGGTTTCGATCCCGCGGGCTCAGGCAATCCACTCACCTCAGCCTCCCAAAGCGTGGGATTACAGGCTGAGCCACAGAGCCCGGCTCATTCAAGGGCTATTATTAGGCACTGCCATCTCAGATGGACTGTCAATCTAATTGATAACTGATAAGGCAGTACGATACATACATACACACACACACACACATATATATGGGTAGGTATTATCCACGATTTAAGGGATTCACTGGGGATCTTCTAATGTAACCCCACAAAGAGTGGGGGAACTACTGTACAAGAATCTAGCCATTTTAGTATATTTGGAAATGACACTGATCAATTCTTAAATGCCACTCACCTAGGAAAATGCAGAAATAAATGATCTAAATGCATAAACGGCTTTCATCCAACTATGTTTTTTTCTCTACAATAATGAGATCAGATTATAATGTTAATATCTTCCCATGACCGAATTCCTGGTGGAAATGGTGAACCTAACATTTCTAAAAGATCTTTTTGGGTGAATCGAGTACTGCAAAGTTTCCATAACAATGGTTTATTCCAGTAGACTACACAAATCAGGATGGCTCCTTGGAGTTTCAAGGTTCAAGGGTGAAATGTCTACTTTTATTGTGTTGAGGATATCTGGCTAACGGCAAGCCTACTAATTTACAAATCACATAACCAAAAGTGAGCTATAAATAAGGAAATCATACTAGCAAAAGTATGTATCCAAATCTATTACAATAGCTGAAAATCACAATTCCCTCATGAATCCTACACTATTAATATTGACTTACTAATAGTGGAGCAGCAAACTAGATTGTTACTAAAGAGATAATCTCTGAAGGGAAATATTTAATTAATGCCACTAACACAAACTATGG